TTTGAGTCTAACGGATAAATTCTTATAAATGATTTTGAACACATAACTCAATTCCAACAATGCAGTTACAACCCAAATCAAAATCACGATAACCATTAAATATAAGAAAGATAAATATAATTCACATATCGATCAAGTAATCATTTTCAATAATTAACCAACTACCGAACGCTCCCTCGTTCAAAACAACAGTGTCAGATGTTTCAAAACCAGGGCGACGTGGGCGTGATGCCGACGTTAATATGTCTGAGGCGTAAGAGGTAATGAAGGTCATTCTGCTTCATTTTGGGTTTGTTGGTTACCGAAGCGGGCTTTAAAAACAGAGGGAAATGGATACTGCATCTTATTTAACACAAAAGATTGAGTTTATAAGAACACATAGGGTCGCTAACGAGGCCTCGATTTTTACCGCGAAATGACGAAAATTATCCGCTGCATAAAACCGCTCGAGTGGAAGTCCACAACAACTTCCACGAACCAGTTTGCCTTATTGCTGGTTTTTTCATTTTTTTAAGGTGCTAATAAAGGAAGGAATAAAGAGAAGTAGGAAAAGGTAGGTCTGGATTTTGTGTTTCGCATGATACCCTGGTTTTGGGTGTCACGCCTCTCCGTAACAAATCCAGTGATTTTATAAGGTTCTATGTATAGGTGTGTGTTTCCCTTTTATATTCTTGTATCTAGTGTGGGTTCTTTTGTAATGAATAAGTGAAAAATGTTGAAAGTTTTGCAAGTTGTTTTAAACACGCAAATTTTAGTTTGGCTGTTTTAAACACTAGATTATCATCTCCTAATTAAGCTTAGAAGGGTTAGGTTTTGGTGGACCTTCTAGTTTGTGGTTTAATTATGTATTGTGTTTTAATTTGTTTGACATGTTTTTCAAAGATATGTTTGGATTCCACCTTTTTTTCTGGCAAAAGGATTTGTTTTAAAAAATAGTCATTGCTGAATATCTATGCCCACTGCTTCAGTTTAGAAATTTTGAGATTATTAGATTAAAAGCATTACTTAAATGTGATTTCTATTTGTGGTATACTTAATTATTCATTGTTGCTGTTTCTACAATAGTAATGTTAGATAATTTTTTCTCAAAAACTTCACAACTTATTTTTTCTAGTTGTGTCTGTTTATTTATTAAAAGGCAGCAGATTTGTAAAAAAAAAAAAAAAATTTTGATTTTGTAATATGTTTCTTAATTACAGTACTATCGCCTCCACAATTGCCATCACTATTCTCCACACAAAGCTCTTTTCATTGTCATAGTAGCTTCTATGAAAGGTAAAAATGAATGCATTGACAGTAGCACACTGCCATACTATAGTGAGAAGTAGTTTCACTCTACAGTGATACATCTTTATTAGACAAAGTGCTCCTTTTCATTATCGTTGCTAAAGAATGTTATTCATCTTTGCCATTATATATATATATAATATATATATTTTTTTTTTTGTTTTTTTTTTTTTTTTTTTTTTTTATACTTAATTAGATATCAGGGCTTTATTAAGCCTTGTGTTAACCAATATAAGAAGCCAGTTTACTCAACAGTTTTGCTTGTGTTCATAGTACTAAGATATCATGAAAATCGTCATGTTTTGAAAGAATATTGTATCTTTTTCTCTTTAACCTACGAATATGTAGAATTACTATAAATGGAACAGCTTGATGTTAAAATGTTTATGAGTGTAAAAAGCCTAGTGTGTTTGGATAAAACAAATCCAAAGTGATTATATAAAAAAAAGTCCATTGGTGAATATATATATATATATGCAAGTAGAACAATGAAGGGAGTACAGGAAACCATGTGTATAGGCATACTCGTGTGTTTTCCTGTACTTCCCTTCACTGTCTTCTTGCCAGTTTTGGTTTTGGACATGAATTCCACATGCGTGTTCTCATATATATCTATTATATGTATATATATATATATTACACCACACACACACTACACACACACACACACACACACACACACACACCACACACAGCACACACACACACACACACACCAGGACACAAACCCACACTCATCTTCTCCGTCTCGCACACATACACACAGACACACACACACACCATACACACACACATACACACACACATACACGCACAAATACACACCCAACTACACACACACATATCACACACATACACACATATACACGCACACTACAGAACACTTACATACATACTATACATATATATACTTTTTACATATATATTATATATATATATATATATATATATATATTATATATCTATAAATATATAAGATATAGATATCTATGGGAATAATTTACAATTGAGAAAAAGGGGGCAATCATATAGATCATTTAAAAGCCCTACTATTATACGATATAATTTGCACATATAAAGTCCAGTTCACAGTTGCTTTTTCAAAGTCCAAAGTTTTACCCACATCAAACCACCAGCAATCTTTTCTGGCCAGGATAAATGGTGGTAGAGTAATGGGCCTTTTTGTAGTGAGTAAAGGGCCACTAGGCTCACTGTAGATTTGTTTCATGTAATAAGTATATATTTGTTTACCAGTATAATTCACATGTGTGGTGTACTGATTAAATTAAAGAAACTGAATCATATTACTCGCTAAACTATTTGGAATTTGTTTAAAAAGAATAAGACAAAAGGTATGGATCTTCTATTCTGGGAATATCATTGAGAGGTGTAAGGGCTAAGTGTATGATGTTAAACAACTAACCAGGCTGAATAGAGCAGCTTACACTGTCCCGGTTGTCGGAACAATTTTATCCATAATTTTGGAATCTGGTTTTAGAATGGATTCCAGCACAATGCTTGCGACTGCAGGAAGATACCGTGAAACTATGGAATACCCAAAATTAGTCTTTATACCAAGAGATACCTTCTGTCAATGGTAAGTCAATATGCCATGTACTATCTAGTACTGACTTTTTCTTCCAAATAAGACACAGATAAAAGAAAGGCAACTAGAAGTGGTCTTCGTGTGTATGTATGTATTTTAGGCCATGTTGTAATAGGTTTATATTATGAATAATGTTAATCAAACCGGCAGTTTATACTTATTAAATGTTTTTTATTGTAATTATACTTTGAGTATATTTAATATGCTTATACATAGTGTTTTTAAGTATTTGCACGGCTACTTTTCATTATTCCTGTAATCTGTATTTTCATTCTAGGACGTTGGTTATTGGCCTGACCTGGAATCAAGATGGGCAGTGCCTTCTGCTTGGGGGAGAACTGTGAAGAGATCATTTTATCTGCTATTAATGCCAAATCCAGGCAGCTATGATTGGGGTGGTCAGAGGAGTGGTAATGGCACTTGCTTTTTTTTGGTCTATTTCCTAAATTATACAGTTTAAGATTAATTTATATTCTCTGATAAGTAGAGCAGAAATTATATTGCTGATAATTAGGAGAAGAACCAATATTTGACTTCATTTTTGTGCCTGAAGGTTACTTTCTCCCTATCTATGCAACACGTAGCTTATTGTTATTAGTAGTATTAGTCTGTTATTAGGAAGAAAATTTACAAATCTTTTGTAATTTATGTTTATTTATCCATTTCTTATCATATATATTTCCTCTCTTTGTCAGAATTCCCCATCATGTTGAAGTTTGCCAGTCGATCACCACATTTTTAGGGATCGCTTCCAAGATGGATCTGTGCTATATGGAATGTGAAGTCGCAAGCACAAAAAGAAAGTATTTTGCTGTAAGGTGAAATCAGTTATGTTGTTCTTTTTCAATGAAGTGTTATGCAAGTTATACAGTGAATTGTATAAATATGTTTGAATTCTTAGTAAGTTGTACTGAATTTACACTGTCCTTATAAAATTATAATTTTTTGCAGTTTCTTTAAGAACTTTTAAAGGCATTGATGTCATTAGAAGGTTCTTTTGTGTTCTTTTATTATTATTATTAGTCAATATTATTTTTATTATTATATTATTATTATTATTTTATTATATATTACAAGTACTACTACAACTATGGTTATTTTCAATAGGTCACAGACACAAGCATCACAAAAATTAGCTTCAGCCACAATGAACTCACATTGCAGCAGCCTCCAAAAAAGTGAGCAATCTTGCCTCCTTTCTGTTGTCAATAACTCACCTCAGCATGACCATCAGGTCTTGAATACTAAGGTTGTAAGAATTTTTTGTTATTGTGTGTTAGATAGTTAATTAGATAAAAGTTGATATTCTCTCTTTCCTAGATTAGTTTTGAATCAAGTGCAGTTCATTCCTAGCATCCAAAAGAAACTGTTTAGTTCAAAACCTGCATAAAAGTATAATTTTGCTGTTCTTTCAAATTTCTATATATATAGTAGTAATTACCTGTGGAATGAAATCATGAGCAAAGCATTAGATTTTATTACAAAAATAATACTTTATGTTTATTTTATTTTCTAGGCTATAACATACCTAGTAAATCGCAAGCAAAGAGTCTCTGCTAGGCTGTTGTTCAGAGGAAGGCCCGTGTCCCCTGTTTGATTCGCATGCCAACAAGGGATTCACAGCTTCAAGGAGCCCCATTCTTCGCCGCTGCCCGGTGTCCTTTTCTCCGGTCACGACTGTTGATGATATCTGTGGGGTTAATGACACAATTTGCTTGTTTATAATGTACAGACAAAGGCATAAGTATGTGTGGTCAGTGGTTTGCTGATGATAGGACAACAGACAAATCAGATAGATTTTTAAAAAATGTAAGACTGTAGATGGATAAAGGGACACAAACAGGAAATAGATGTAATCTATTGAAGGGACTATCACAGTATGATTAAATTATATATATGTTCCAGCATTTGAAATACTGAATATAAGCTTCTGAGCTTAAACAGTTTATGGATATTAGGTAAAACTTTGCTTTATACCTCTAGTTATGAGTTAACAGGTAATTTTCTACGTTATTGCTAATACTATTGCTATACTCTATCATGTGCTTGTATTTATTTGAACAGTAGAGCTTTAAGTAAACTAAAACACCTTTATTTCTCAGGCCCCTGATGACTCACCGCAGTTCAGCCCCCCTCACCAGTGCAGCCTTCCTCAGTGGTGGCCAGCAAGTCGCACTGGGCACCATGACTGGACAAGTATTTATTCATGATCTGCGCAGTCTTCGCACACCCTTGGCTACCATCTCGGCTCATACAAAGGCTGTTACCAGTATCATTGTGCAGCCAGCAACGCGAACAGCAGTGCGTATTTTTATCTGTATGCTTAACACTCGTAATGATTTACTCACGAATATGCATTTAAGTGGTATGTCTTATGTCCTGTATTTAGAATTACTTGTGGCATTTTTTTTTCTTTTCATTTTATTTATTTACTTGCAGTCTGAAAGCAGTGCTGGTGGTGTGAAGAAGAACACTAGGCAGAAGAACAATATAGAAGCCCTAACATCTCACAAAACATCCAAGTAAGTCATTTACAAGCAAGATAGTCACTTGCCAATCACTAACTTTATAGGTTCTGTACACTGTATTGTATAAATCATGAAGAATATGGAAGAAACTATATGTCAGTATAATGCTTAGTATTTAGTGTTACACCTATAGATTATCACATGCACTATAAGTAGCAATTGAATATTTCTAGCCACCCATTTGGCTTTTGGAGGGTAAGTCACTTTTGGTGTAACTGAAATATGTGAACAAGAAATATTCTGTATCTTTGTTACTGGACTGTTAGAACTTTGCCTTCGTTTATTTTGGGGAATATATGAATGTAAGGAAAAATGAGTTCCTACAGTGATTATATCTATAGCAAAAGTGATATTTTTGAAAAGTTCATTAATTACTTGCTCCTGTAAATCAATATGAATCCCACATTAACTAATATCATAACTTTTGGAAAAGCAAAGTTTAAATATGTTAAGTAATGTAGAATAGTTTGATAAAATAGACCTGTTTTCTATGCAGATCATGCTCAGACCAGCCATCTGAGGGGTCACAAGTGGATGCAAGTGTCAGAAGAAAACCACTTTGGCTCCAGGAACTTCAGTGGATCCTTCTCATGATGTGTTGTCACCTGATGTTTTTTCTCCAATCAGGTCCACAGAGAACCCGGTGAAGGTTAGATATAACTGATTAGGTGTTGAATAGAGATATATTTAGGCTATACAGTGTGATTTATATATTTTTTTTTTTTTATAGAGAATGTACATATTATTGGGAGCAATGTTATTTTTTATGTATATGAACATTAGAATTGAGCACCGATTTTTACTTTGATGAAGTTTATTCAGTGATACTTCCAGTTAATAGTCCTTTTTGTAATGGCTGGTGTTAATAATTTCATATTCTCAATGCTTACAACTGCTTACAGGTGAATATTGAACAAGTTAAGAAGTTTTCCTCCTTGGAACGACATGGTTCAAGAGATTCTCTTGGTATGGATGATGTTTTATCTCCAGTTCGGCCAATAATGCATGCTCCAGAAGCAGTTGTTTCACCTCACACTTTAGTTGTAACATCTCACAACCTAGATGATGGTATGTATTAGCATTGTTGTTACAATAAGTTAATTTATATCAATATTCTCTACTACCACAAATTGTAAAGATATAATTTTGAACTTTATTTCCAAGTTCAATATTTTTAGTATCTTTAAATATCTTTAGAGCTGGAAAAAGAAAATGGCTCCTGTTATATATATGAAAATTTCCACAAGCTAATACTGATTAATTCTTTCAGATATCTTTTCTCCAGTAAGAGGAGCATCAAGTAATACAGGACTGCCAAAGATTTCTGCTGGAATATTGGAATCCTACAGAGGACATGATTGTGAAGGTGAGTGTTACAGGGAAGGTGTATAAACGAGATGTCTTTGTAAGCAAAACATGTTCATATGATTAAAGTAACATAGATAATGCAAAGTGGTTTGAAAAAGTGTGGATTGTATGGTCTTGTTATCGGTACATTATAATAACTAAATAATTATATTTCAATTTTCCTGACAGATGATCTACTATCTCCAATCAGATACAGAAGTAATTTCAGGCAGCAGTCTGGTAGTACAGGAATTGCATCACCAAATATCCCCAGATTACTACTAGTGATGACTTATTTGAAGAATTACCCATTCCTCAGAATGAAAATTCTAAAGACAAAGAAAATGTCCAACCCTCAGATGCAGGCAAACTAAACAATAACGCAAATGCCTATAATAAAGGAACACCTGTTCGAGCAGCCCATTTAGAGGAAGCTTCACCTGCCAGTGTTCTTTCTTTACATAATCAAGTTAATGATGTCAAAGCCAAGAACATATCAAGTGCCAAGAAGACTGATAGTATAATCACATCAGAAACCAAGATTATGCAGAATGTAACTACAGCAGAGGTGTCTAAAACTCCAGAACTAATTAATCCACTTCTCAAACACAGCCACTCCTCCAGAAAGACCGAATCTCCTGCAGACCTTCCATCACAGACTGCAAAACTTCATGTTGAAGAAGCAACAACTCCTAGCAGGTATCAATACACAAGATCATCACCACCTCACAAGCGAGCCTTCTTGCGACCGGTGCACACAAGTGATCTCTTTTCTCCTGCCGATAGCACAGTGGACCAGATTCAAGTCAGTGGTACACCTAAGCAAGATTTATCAGGTAAGAACCATAAGATGATTATTGTCTGAATAATGTGTAGGAAAAGCTGGATACAGTTAAATTTTTCAATTTTGATAAAAACAACCTTGAGGTACTTTTAGCTATCCTGCATTAGGTAGTTTATTTCTGGTAAAATTTATGTTACTATTTTTTTTTTTTTTTAAGAAGTGCTTGCTTCACATTTACTGGTATTGCCATTGAAAATGAATATTGATTGGAGAAAAATGTTAGTATAGAAAAACTATTGGTCATATTTTCATTGTTTTGTTAATCCAACAGATGTACCTAAACTTGGTAGCGATGGAACTCATGTGCTGCAAGTTGATTTGATACGTAACTGCATGGCAGAAGTTCTTGAAGAATTTCAAGATGACATTAATCGCCGTTTAATGCACTTGCAGTGTGTGGTCATGAAACAGTTTTTGAAACAGCAGGTATGATATATTGTTTTTTTGTAACTTTGTGGAAACAAATAAGTTATTTGTAAACAAAAATAGGAAAAGAAAAGATTAAAAAACAGTGATTAAAGAAGCTATAGGCACCAGGTAGTTTATATGATATTTGACATTTATTTTGCAGGAAATAATGGAACAACTTCATCGGCAGTATTCTTTAAATGAAGACTTGCTTCAGGAAAACGAAAGATTGCGGCAGGAGGTCAAACACTTGAAGGCAAATTACTAGAAATATAGGAAACATGTCTGCCATTTTGATCTTGTATCTCTTGTCTGTTTGTAAGCTTTTAATGTCTAATTATTGATATATTTTATTAAAGGATGTAAATAAGAAGAACAACTAAAATCTAATATAAAGCTATAAATTCACTTTCAATATCCTCTATTGAAATTCATTTTATATTGTGATGAAAACGTAATTGTGTGGTTGTTTCTAAATAATTATGAACAGGTCCTATTAAAGTTGGCCAGCCAAGATGTATCTGATTCAGTTTTAAGTTTTATGAAAATGTCTATATTTAAAACTTATCACTTTAACCTATTATAGTCTGGCAGGCCAGTAGCTTTCATGAAAAATCTACTCATCATTCGAGACAAAGCCCCTAGGTAAAGGAGTGCTTTATAACATCACAGGTTATATGATGGGTATGGTTATAGGCATCGTGACTTGCTCTGGCGAGTTGAGTGGGAAGGGCCACTGTACACAGCGAACCCCACTATGGAAAGGTTTGACAGTTGCCAAAAGTCAGTGGAATGAGTGACAAATATCTGGCACTGCCAGTATAGGGTTAAACTAGTACAACTATTGATTTCCAGTCGTTATGAGTACAATTACCTATGTAATATAGTTCTAGTATTCACCTTTTATAGGAATTCAATACAAAGTGGGATTTCTTGATTATGCACAATTTTTTCATCTATACAAAAATAAAATAAAAAATCTTGAGAACAACCAAAGGGATATTTCATTTATAAATATTAAGAGAAATGGCTTGGCACTTTTAGGCAATACTTGTCTAATCAAAAACTGACTTGTATCACATGTCAAATATTTACACTAAAGTGACCATTCACTGACATTTCAAAAATTTGAATTAAAATTTTTGCTATCTGAAAAGACAACTGTATTAGTAACTAACTATTAAAACCCCAAGGAATACGGTCTACTTGGATTATATGACACATTTTTCTGAGACTTTTCAGCTTCCCAGTTCTCTGGTATTATAAAATTTCATAGTCTTAATTGCTTTCCATTTCTATGAATGAAGTCTTTTCATTAAGGTTTGCAAATTTATCACCTTCATAAAAGAAATTTAAGTTTTTTTGCTATTAAACTTCAGTTACTAAAAGCAAATTTATATTACTTGATAGTGCCCTGTGGATTGTGCCATCTTTCAAAGTCTTGCATGTCTGTGTTAATGTCCACAAAGCCAAGTACATGTTGGCAAAGCACAAGTCAGCAGATGATCAGATGGTTTCACCCACAAAGTAAAAAAAAAAATTGTAGGGTTATGGCAGAAAGGGTAAAAATGAGAATGATTGGGATAAGTGACCTGAAGAAGAGAAGGAAAAGGGCAGAGGGAGAAGAAAAGACCATATAAAATTTGCTGAGGCAAGGGCTAAGGTCCATGGCAAAAATGAGCAAGGAATCAGGGGTGGCTGGCATCACTAGGCATGCCAGCCCATTCATCAACTGTGTGTGGAAAACATTTACAGGCAAGTCTGGGAGAATCTGTCCACCATTGCCTAGCGGACATGCCAGCTTGTCTGGACAGGCCTTGAAGCAGCAAATACATGTGTTAAATACTTCTTGCTGGTGTCTTTATTCCTGCAACTACAGGCATAAGCAGTGCTCTGGTTTAGCCCATCCAAGTTGTCACAAAGTGTTTGAGACAAGACACTTGCCCATGAGACACTGCCCAAGAATATGGACAGTCATATTTCCCCTGCCTTTATTTCCCTTCTTGTTCTGAGTGACACTGTCTCATAAGGCATGTTAACAACAAGCAACTTACTGAAAAATGGCTATGATTATTAATAAGACCTGTCCAAATAGTCTGTCCAACAGACCTTGCCTGTGTTGTTGTACACATGGGTGTGTTGGTACTTAGTAGGATTTTATTTATTTATTGAAAATTTTCTTCTGCATCAACATTTAAGGTGGTGTCATTTATTCAATATATAGTGATAGTGTGAGATTTGGAGACAGAGACCCTTGGTAAGGAAGTGCTATATGACATCAAAGGTTATATGGCGCTATGGTAAAGTATAGTAGTGAAAAGGGTTAGGAATGAGCTAATGATTAGGGTAAAATTACAAGTTCAAGTACTAGAAGGTAGTGTGGTAGTGAAATGGTTAAAAATGGGGAGGTGAAGGGGTACAGTACAAGGTAAAGGTTGTTAGAAGGGGAAGGAATTAAAAGAATAGGGAGCATTGATAAAGTATAAAGGCAAAACCAGCAAAAATGAGTTAACAATTAGGATAAGTGGACAGAAGAAGGGGATGAAGAAAAGGAAAAGGAAAGACCCTGCAAAATTAGTTGGCCTCATCCCCGTCTCCTAAGCACTCAATGACAAGGAGAAAGGAATTGAGGGGTACCTAGCAGGATCATCCATCCAAATCCAACAACAAACTTTCAAACTACCAGGCAAAAACCTTATCTGGTCATTTCACTTGGCCAGAGGCATGTGCACTATCAGTTTGCATGTCAATTTTGCCAGAACGGGCATACCCGTATACTTGCTTAGCTGTCTTTTCTAAACCTCAACATGGTCAAGCACTGTTTGTAAATACAAGAACTTTGCCCATCACCAGACTGTCATGGGTGGAATTATGCATTTTCACCTTAAAGTATGATAGATATCATATAGTTTGGCTAAGTGGAAAAAATCAAACCAAGATAATCTTCGCATCAACCACTTCAGTGGATCAAAGGTTGAAGTGCAGATCAATATATGCAATATTTTAGAAAATAACATTCTTATTTTATACATTGTAATTAACTGCATGAAAGTTTTTAAAAGTAGTGCACTCACATATGCCTACAAGCATTGAATTATCCTACCACAAACAAATATTTAGAAGTTGCTTACAATGTTACAAGAGTAAAGTATACACTAGGTAAGAAAAATGGCGGTTAATGTTACTGAGAGTGACGCACTGAGATAGAGGGAAATGGACACTGCCATCTTATAGAGCATAAGAAATTAGAGTAGGAAGCAATACAGGTATACCTGCAGTGGTCTATGTTTACAGGGAAATTACACACAGCCACAATTCTTAATGCCGCGTTTTCTTTAACCCAATGGTGAGGCGTGAAGAAAACGAAAAAAAAAAAAAAACTACGCTCTGGCAAACAATGGCTGTGCGCCGGCTTTGAGCGCGCAAGTTTGGTACATCAGCCCGAATCACTGGCTCACCGCATGCCAGCTTTCGAGCAGTTTTTCATGCCTATCAGCATCACCCGTCGGGAAGGAGTTAAGTTCGCATGAAGTGTTAATAAAAGGGGGCACAAGGGGATTTGCCCCCTGTCTAGGGAGTAAATAAAAAGTAGGAAAGTTTAGGTTTGGATTTTGGGTTCGTATGTTGTCCTGGATTTGGGACTTCATCTCTGGAGGGTGTGTCGCTCTCGGTAACCTAACAAAATGGCAATTGGTAGATGGTCTAGCGGCAAAGACCTTGGATTTTGAAAGTTTTAGGTTCATAAGGTGATCTATGTGGCAGTTTCTGCGTTCATGATAGGGATCATTTGTTTGAGGTGGGTTCTATTGTAAATTTTTACTACATCATGTTTAAAAATTAATAGTAATATACATCACATTTAGATTTGTGTACTTCAAGTAGGGGTCAATCTATTAAATAACTTGAACTTTATGAATATATCTGATGAAAACCATTTCTTAAAAGGTGATCAATTATATTTTATTTATCTAGCCACACATGCATGTTATTTCTGCTTACAGGAATGTTGCAACACCCTATGGCCTGTTTCTGCTTATCATGGTATATAACAGTCAGCTTAGTCATTGCTTTGACGCAATGCTGATGGGTGAAAAAAAAAAAAAAAAACAGAATTTAAAAACTTTGGAGATTTGTCGCAACGGGCAGACACTGGAGCGTCACCTCACTTACAGCTATACTTCACAGACCAAGGGGTTTGTTATGATGCCGATAGGTGTGGCCCATCAGCGTTGGGTTAAAACAGGTGAATTTTATTATTTTCACTATTTGTATGCATTGCCTTATCTTTATAAGTCACTGAACAGAACATGCCAACATAAAAAAAAAAAAAAAATTCTTACTCCCAGTTTTGAATATCAGGTATAACAGCCATGATGTAGTTTCAAGTACACAATATCAAGCAATGAAAATTTCATCAATTCCTCAACTAAATGGCCACAGCAAGAATTTTTGAATATGTCTAATACTAAATATACTTTCTGTAAAGCACTACAAGCAAAATTAATACTTTTTTCTGAATAGCCTCAAGTAATAAGCTTACTTAAGAATTTCCAAATTCAGTTTATCCAAAGAAGCATAGCCAAGATAATAAAACACAATTTTCCTTAACTTTTTATTTCAAGTTTAAGGAAGAACAGAGCCTTTTGCCGCATTATCTGTGGAAGAGAGAAACAACCAATTGAAATTGTGAAACATTCTAAACCATGTGAAACTTGTACATTTCACACACACAAAAAAAACTATTCTTATAGATATTCAAGAAATTTCTTTCAACAATCACCAAATCAAAAATCTAACACATTCACCGACATTTGCAAAATATATTATTAGGGACATTTCTTTCAACAACCAAAAACCCAATACATTCATGGACATTCACATAACACACTGTATCAAACTTACAAGAAGGGAAAAATTTGATGTTAGAAGTGATCACCTTAATCTCCTGGCTTCACGCTCAGACTCCAACAGTGTGAGGATGTCGCCTTCACGTACGGGACCCTTCACATTGCGGATAATAGAACGGTGGGACTCATCCAGGAACTCAACGCGTACCTGAGTACACTGACCCTGGGATCC